AAAGCTATAAATATATAAGAAATATTCATAAAGGAAATTTGATAAAAAGAAGTAGTTTTGTGTACCTAAATAATTCCCAAAACTTGTCAGGTGCTCTGCAACTTAGCTTTCTCTCTCTTTCCCTCTTTGCTTCTCACTCTCTTCTCTCTTCCTTCGATCTCTCTTCCTCCTCCGTCTCCTCTCCCCCTCTTTTGTCCTATTTTTCTTCACCATCTAACTACCCCATCCCCCATTTTTCCTACTTCAATTTAATGCCCACCCCTTATTTCTTTCTCCATTTACTTCTTGCACCTCTTCTTTCTTTATTCTTGACTAATTGCCCAGCTTTTCCACCGACTTCGGTGGAAAAGCTGGGTATTGTTTTTTTTTAATATATTATATTATTTTAATTAATTGATTTTGATTGATTTTTTTTTTACAGTACGTTACAATTAATGTTTTAAATAGAAAGAAATTTAAGAGATCAAAACCTATCGTTTAAAACTTGAAGAATCAAAACCAAAATAAGGGCAAACTTAAAAACCAAAGTTTATATTAGTCCATATATATATATATATATATATATCTCACTTGAAGGAAGTTCCCGTGCCAAAATCTGCGATCTCCATAACTCCCCATGTACTAAAAATGAAACATCACCTGAAAAATAAAGGAGTCTTGAATTGACGATTCAAAAGCGTAGTAGACATGATAATATCGGATCAGAAAAGACTAGATGTAGTGTTGGGTTTCAGAAAACAACTCGAACAATTAATTAATTAATCACCCAAGGTCAGATTCAAGCAAACTCCAGTCAGAAAAGATTTTCGAAACTAGAAAATTTTTTTGGCACTAAGAGCTTAACATATATGACATCATATCCAATCCCAATAAAAGGAGAAGTGAAAAAGCAATGCCGACCCACGATTTGTTTAAGCTGTTAGTTAAACGGATGGGTCATCTGTTGATCATTTTCGGACTCACTTTACCCACTAACTTGTGCCTCGTCTGCTTCATCATCTTCCTCATCTGTTCTGTCCTCTGTCGTCTCCTCCTGCTTTCTCGGCATCAATGGCCACACGTGAGACAGAATCACAGAATCATTGCCTTCACCCAGTAATGGAATCTTCTTTCCCAAGAGCTTACCTGCAGGGTCTTTGGATTCCCGCATTTTTTGGGTAAGCACTAAGCAAGCAAACAATACGCCCTTCCCGCCATCGATTTTTGCCACAGCCGTGAGCTGAGATCACCGTCATTTGAACCGGGATGAGGGGGAGAAAACCGATGTTAACATTTGGTTAAATTTTGTTCCACTTTTAATTAATATATTAAGAGTAAAATTCTACTACCTGAATACTCCTGGCCTAGTGGTGACTGGCTAGGCCACAAGTGAGGCGAGTCTCTGCTCTTTGAGGGCGGGGGTTCAAATCCTCATTTGTTAAAAAGGGTACCGGGGAGGGCTTTACTTGTCGCCCGGCCCGAATCCGGACTAGTCGATCGCTCGGGTACAACTGGCCCAAAGAGGCTGGGACCCAGAAAAGACGCGGTTGGATACCGGATAGTTTATATCAAAAAAAAAAAAGTAAAATTCTACCATTAAAATTTTAAGATGTTAGATGCATTTTGAAAAAATAGTTCTAAGATGTTTGTTGATGTACCTTAATCCTATTTAACAACACACAAGAAAAATAGTAATTGCTCTATTTGTCTTTTTCTATAAGATTCAAGTTTTTGAATCCCTCGTTCCTTTTTTATAATATTCACTTTGAAGTTTTCAGAGAACGAAATGAATTTTTATTAATTTATTATTAATTAATTTTTCTTATACATTTTTTTGAATGTTCAGAAAATAGAACCGGACTGACCGGTAGAAATCAAAAGTTGGTGAATTTGTCACTTGTCCGGTCTGATACACTTCTTAAACCGGGAAGAATTTAAACCAGTGGTAAACTGGTCAAAAACCGGGTAACTCGCTGTATTTGGTGGTTTACCGGTTCACTTTGTGGTGGAAAAAACGTAGAGTTGGAAAAAGAAAAAGGGAGTCACCAGGAAAGAAAAGAAGAAAGGAGAGGAGGAAGAGAAGGAAGTTAGAGAAGGAGAAAATGGGCACTCCGATGAGGATCTACGCAGCCAAAAAGCCGTGAATCAAGTACTCCGAGTAAAAGTTGATGAAGAAATTCCATACTGGTTCAAACAGGAAAAATGCCTCGGAAGCTAGATGAAGAGACCAAGTCCACTTCTCTAGAGAAGAGAAGATAAGGATAGAGGTGAGGGTGGCTATACAATAGGTTAGATCGAAGAAGATAAGGCAGGCGGATCGTGCAAATGCATATCAATATGCTGGTGAGAATAAAATGAGTTCTGGGCATGAAACTCAAAGATAAAAAGATTTGCTAATGTGAATTGGGAAAGATAAACTCATGGAATAAGAAAAGAGGAAGGCTCAACGCTCAAGCAAATGACGGCTAATCTGTAGCTATGAGCCCATGCCTTGCATCATTTTAGGTTTTTTTTTTTTTTTATTATCTTGAAAGTGTGATCTCTCCTCCTCTAATCCTTTATCCAAAAAAAATAAATAAGTAAATAAAATATTATTACGACACATGCCGCTATGAGTTCATTAGTTCTTTTGCAATACTCCTTTGGTCCTATTTATAGGATAGAGAAAGAAGGTATTTTTTAGTCCTATTTATAGGATAGTGAGAGAAATTTTTTGTATGAATGTACAATTTTACCCTTCATTTATTATTGCATTGACTTTGTTTATATGAGGTATAATGTATATTAAATAGGGATAAAGTTGAAAAGTCATTAAATTTTAAATGAGAGTTAATAAAGTTTAAAGTTTTTCTTAGTCTGTATGAAACATGCTGGAAGTACCTTATAAATAAAACCAGAGGAGTATGCATTATTTTTACTGTTTAATATGGTAATTTTTAAATATTATTTTTATCATAATATTTTTATAGTTGAATATAATTAGTTTTGTATATTTTGTTTAAATTATTTTTTTTAATTATAACCTGTTTGATTCTAACCCATTAACTCTTAACCTGTTGTCTTGACCGGTCTAATTCTTTAAACCTTGATTTTTATTCAATCATTTTTCTAATTATTTCTCTCTCTTTTTATTTTTCCATCATGATTATTTTTCTCTCATTTATCAACTTATGAGTAAGGGCATAATAATTAATTTCACCTATTTTTATTACTTTTAGTTAAATTAATAATTTTCACAAAACGGCTCGTAGGAAGAGGATTGGGAATCCATTTTCTCGTGGTTCTTTATTATCATAATCAATTGAAAATTTGACATGGTAGTACGGTACATTATTCTAGAAGGAGGACATAGCATACCGTTGGTTGGAAATGTGCTTCCCACGCGTTTTCATTTTTCAGTTTTCACATTGAGATTCGTCCTACTTTCAAATAATTAAAAAAAAATTGATCAAATAAAGATTCCCCATGTGTTAGCTTATAAATTATATTCCATTTTATTCTTTTTTTTAATAAATTATATTCCATTTTATCGACTTTACAAGATGCAGATAACCAAACCAGAGAATCCCACAAAACAAAACTTCAAATTATGAAATTTTAAGTTAAGTTTAGTAACAATATTTTAATAGGTTTTGATAACACTGAACTTATAAATAACAACATATTTTAATTAGAACTATTTATCTATAATTAGTAATTTTGGGCTTTTTTTTTTAAATTCTCCCCAACCGAATCATATGTCAGGATTTTAAAACTTAAATGACACTGTAAATATGAAGTTGTGATTTTAAATTATCTATAAACATAATAAATCCTGAGTTATGAAAAAAAACAATTGTGTCGATAAAAAATATAATTAAAATTAGTTAAATGTAATTGAAAAGACAACTAGTGGCAAAAAAAAAAAAGGAAAATTGTAATAAGGTCCCACCCAAAAGAATCAAATACAAAAAAAATCCCTTAAAATCATCAAATTCTTTTCAAGTCCCAAGGGATCTTATTACAATAAATTTTATTTGCTTAATTATCAAATTGTCTTTTTTTTTTTAATTTATAGTAACAACTGAAAAAACAGTCGTTGACAATTTAAAGTGTAAAGATTGACAACTATAATAATAGGTATTGACAATATATTTTCTTAGTACATTACAAAATATAATGTATGAGTTATTAATATAAAAAAAAAATTGGTAATTAAACAAGACAACGGAATTTATCATTGATTAATTAATAAACCGTGAACTGGCATATTAACCAATTCATAGATCCTCTTGATTTTCACAACATTGCAAATAATGTTATTTTAGGTATTAGGTATCGTTCTACGTTTTTTTTCCTTTATTTCATTCCCATTAGTTTTTGTCAGAATGTATCGATATATATTTTTAAATAAGGGAATATTCAGGGTAGGGCCAAAGTTGCTGCTGACTTCTTATATACCCATCAATTTGGCTCCCATTCATGCGCCCCCCCCGGGCGGGGGCCCTCAGAGGGACCAGACATTCTAGAAAGTTCAAAATAAACATTGGTCCACTGTTTCAGGTCAAACAAATAAATAAATATGAATTATTAGTACAATCCAAACTTCAACGGGAGCCATGTGATATGTCAGCTGTTGTCTTTTGAGTTATCTTCGTAATTTTAGAGCTCGGTGCCAAAAAGTGAGCTTTGAGGAAGCAGTTGAGTTGCGATGACCACTTCGTTATACTTTGTCAGCTCACTCATTTGGATTGGAATGCGCTCTGCTTTAAATAAATAAACCTAATCCAATGAAAATAAATAAAGTATAATGCACCATGTGCTATGCATCCAAAAAAAATTTTACAAAAAATAAAAAAGATGGATAACTATTGGATTATAGTATTACAATATATATACACATACATACACCCCTCCCCCCCAAAAAAAAAAACAACAACAACAACCAGAGACTTAGCCTGAGGTGGATTGAATATAATTGACCACCGCAGAAGACCTAAAAAACACCTGAAGAGTTTAGAAGTGAAAGTAAGGTTTCTGGTGTTTCGGATCCGCGAAATCTGATATTTTCTTCAGTTTCATGGCTACTTCGTTCAACATATCAGGTCAAGTTTCTCTCCCTCCCTTGGATATCTCTTTCTGTAATATCTGCAACAAAACTAAGAATTACCAGTTTTGAATATGTTTCTATTCTGTTGTTCTAATAATTCTGAGGCTTAAAGATCAGATTTAGACGCCAAGAAGGATAGATTTTCCAAGAGAGAATTAAAAATGTAGAGCAAATGATCGATAAACAAAGTATAGCTAAAGGTATGCTGGTCCCTTTAGAGGAATATATACTCTGCTAATATAGCCTAATATCAGGGAGCTACTTCAAGGAAGATTAGTTGGCAAAATAAAATTCAAGATTAGTTGGCCAAAAAACAAAATTCAAGGAACATTAAGGTCATTAGGAAATCTTTACGCAGAAAAATCTATTTTATTTTTTAGAAATTTGAAAGTTTTGGTGATGAGTTGAGTTGTAAAAGAAACTTACTGAAACTTAGGGTGAATCTCACACCAATACGATCTTAAGGCCTCATTTGGTACCGGAAGTGGATTTTGAAGGAATGAGAATGAAAATAAGAATAGAAATTGGCTTTTAAGACATGTTTGGTGTGATAGGTAATTCGGTTGGAATGGTTGTATAACTTCTGTTTGGTACGTAGGTTTTGAACATAGAAAAGGAATTTAATTTAATAAAAGACCATAGAGCTAGACGCTTGTACCTACAACCTATATACCAAGAAGATACTTACATTAATAACAGGACTTGATACTCAAGCTTTCATGAGGTATAAGACAAGCACTAACCAATTGAAACAAGATTTCTTAGCTAAATTTTATTATGGCTAAAGAGAATACCATAGGGTTAAATTCGTATCATCACTTGGCATTTTTGAATGTGTTGCAGGTCCATCAAAAGCGTGTCAGAAAAGGGAGATAATGGACAACAAAAATGAACAAAAGCAAGACTTGTTAAGCTCCTTGAAAGCCAAATTAGAAGCTATAGATTCTTTGGAGCTTCCCTTAGCATCAGGATGTTGCATCTACAAAGTGCCACCAAAAATTCGGAAAGTGAATGAAGAAGCCTACACCCCTACCTTGATATCAATTGGTCCATTTCATCGCGGAGACAAGAGACTGGAATCCATGGAAGAAGTCAAAATATGGTGCCTCAACAACTTTCTAAAGAGGAGTAAAGAGAAATTGTTGGAGGATTATGTTCAAACTCTAAGAGACTGGGAAGATGAAGCTCGACGTTGTTATTCAGAAACCATACCGATGAAGAGTGATGATTTTGTAAGCATGATTCTAACAGATGGTTGCTTCATCATTGAGTACTTTCTCTCATGTCTAGGTCTGTTAGAACAAAACCCTTGGCGTTTTAAATTATGGCCAACGTGTGATATAAACCTAGACTTGATCTTACTTGAGAATCAGTTGCCATTTTTCATTCTTAAAGGACTATTCGACCTAACTTTTCCTACTGGCTTCAATGATAGGTTTTCATTCACTGAGATAGCCTTCAATTTTTTTAGGAGAGTGTTTCTACACCATATTGTTACCAAAAAAGAACTCCGTGGCAAGTTTACTTTTAAGTATTTTCAACAACACTACCTTGAACAGACGACTACTACTCAATTTGAATCATCTACAGTCACAAAAGTGATCCATCACCTGAATGCTATGTTAAGGATGTTTTACCTACCGAATCAATTACCAAGAAGAGAATTTGGCAAAGTGAAGCCTGTGTATGGTGCAAGACAACTACGAGAGGCAGGGATCAAATTTCAGGTCAATGAACAACAGAAAAGCATTACTGATTTGAAATACTCCAAGGGAGTGTTGAAGATACCATATTTTCAGATCAGTGATTGGACTGAGATGGTGGTTAGAAATATGGTTGCATTTGAGCAGTGTCACCTTGCTCTTGAGAGCTATGTGACAGATTATGTGACCCTCTTGAACTATCTTATTGACACAGGAAAAGATATTGAGCTCCTTGTTGAGAAAGGAATCATGGACAACTTGTTGGGCAGCAATGATGAAGTGGCTTCCCTAGTCAACAGCCTTGACAAAAATACTGTGTTCATGACTTGCAACAGTGATTATCAATCTCTATGTGAAGAATTGAACAAGTTCTACGAGAATCCTTACCACAAGTATAAGGCAATATTTAAGCATGAGTACTTGAGCACCCCTTGGAGAATAGCATCATTTATTGCTGCAATTATGCTCCTCATACTCACTCTAATTCAAACAATATGCTCTCTCCCCTTTATTAATAAGAGGTAGGCCAAAAGTAGTTGTACAACACAAATGGAAATGTGCGATTGTGCAAGTTTCCTATCTGGTTTGGCTTGTCAAAATCAACCATGGACTATCCAAATTTTGTTATATTTTCCATTCTAAGAGGATTTAAACCATTCATATCTAAATTAGATAGTTCAAATTATACGTGCATTTTCTAGATCTCTAAGAATGCCTTGGGAATTTTATACCTTGAATAATTCTCAAGTAGTAACTAATTTTGTAGCGTGATCTTTTCCACTAGTGCTCCCTTTTCTATTAGATTTGTGTCAAATTAAACTTGCAATCTCAGCTATAGTGTTTGTTGAGATTGCAAGAATTACATGCAAAACTCAGGGACAAAAAGAAGAAAGAAAGAGGAGATATGTCCTCCAATAAATTTTAATTCTGTGTTGATGCAAATTAATGTCAAGAGGCATATCTTTTCTGAAAGATTCGAAGTTAAGAGGAGGAAAACCTTCAAAACTCTAGAGATTTACCTGAGAGCCACAAGATAAGAAAAACAGAGCAAACTTTCCACAGATTGATTCGCATGCTATAAAAATGGCTACGAAATCCGAGAGCACTTACCATAGTGAGAAGGATGAAGAAGGTTTAATAAAGGACGAGATTGGATTGTAAATAATCTTCAGGCCTTCGGAACAATCTTTGAATCTCACAAATCGGAGAGAGGTATCTGGCACATTGGGTTGGTTATACATTCAAGGGTCATACGACGCTAGGGCACTGAGTTGGGTCATGAAAAGACATACTATCGAGTGGAGAGAATCAGAGAAACACAGATACAGAGGCAGTCCTGCCCCTCATCTTCGCTCTTCGAGCTTCCCCAATGTCAATGGACCAAAAATCAGGGATTAGAGCAGCAAAAACAAAAGGTGAAAAATGAAACATCTTCTTGTTTACCGTAAACCAAAAAAAAAATCTTCTTTACAGGGCAGTTATGACACTTTCTTAGGCTTTTTTTCAAACTTTTTTTAGCCAAATTTTTTTTTTAAACTCCATAAATACCTGATAATACCTCAAATAAGATTGTTTCTAATTAAAAGATAATTGTGCCTAGAAAAAGAAATTAAATTATGTATGGGTAACATTTTTTAAAAAAAGTGAAATTTTATAATAAATTTCTATAAATTCTTAAATTTTTCACATGTCGAGATTTATTGTTGGCGAATGTTGATGGAGGCCGTTGGTACCGTAGCAAAATGGTGAAAGGCAAAGGGCAGAGAGGTAATTTGGTCATTTTACTAAGATCAATGTTTTATTTTACAGTGCATATGTATATATATTGTTAATGAATCCATTTACACTTCCAGCAATTAGGTTTTGACAGACGAGTCACATCTTGGCAGCTTCATCTATCAAAAGATAGTAGGTTGTCAGTGGCGGTGAAACTGAAGTGGACTTTGTGAGATTTCAGGCATACTTGCCATACACTCTAGTTCTTTCCCTACTCGCTCATGATCTGATCATAATAACAGTTGGATATTGGTTATATAATAAAATAACATACTACTCCTCCTGTCATTAATATAAAACCTATTTAACTAATTTGATTAGATTAAGAAAGTTAGGTAAGTTAGTTAATTATAAAAAAAGTAAAATATTTTTCCTAAAACACCATAATCATCTTTCTTAATACCCCATCTTTCTCTTTTACTTGATTATGATTGAGGGAGTATCCATAGGGGTAATTTAGAGAAAATTGATAAATATGAGAAAGAGGTCTTATATTTAGAACCAAAACCAACTCAAGAATTGAGTCCTATATTAAGAACCGGAAGAGTATTATTTACAGTACATTTAAATTATACTACAAAAAATTTTATACTTAGGATCGGAAGAATATTATTTATGGTACATTTAGCTTTTTTTTTTTTTTGCTTATCCAGTACCTCTGAAATTATTTTCCAGTTACATCCAAGACCACAATATTATTTATGATCCAGAGATACTAAATATATTATAAATAAAATTAGAATATTGGATGCATCACATATAACATTAGGATATTGAATACAAATAAAAAAAAATATAACAATACTAAATACAGTTTTATCCTAAATTTTTTCGCACATCAATACCATTTTATTTAATTTGGATACCCTTTTAGTAATGTCCAATAAAGTGAGAAACTAAAGATGAACAAAATCAGATTGAAAAATTTTAGGAGACTGTTGCATGTGATAAGACAAAAAAAAGTTGTAGCGAAAAAAATGAAAAATTAAAAAAAAAAAAGAAAAAAAAAAAGAAAGAAATGGTTATCTGCTGCCATGTTTTGAGTGGTGAGCATGAAGAGCACCGAATGCGAACACGACATGATGTGGCATTGGGTGGAAATGTGCATCCCCCGCGTTTTAACTTTTCAGTTTTCACATTGACCAAATAAAAATAAACAAAGGATTCGCCATGTGTTAGCTTATAAATCATACTTCATTTTATCCATTTAGGCCCAGTGGTATGGTGTGTGTTGAGTGTATGCGGGCGGGTTCGAACCGGCTCTCTTGTATCTCAAAAAAAAAAAAAAAAAAGATAATCAGAGAGAGAATCTATAAAAAGAAATTCAAAATTATTAAATTTTAAATCAGATTTCATAACAATATTTTAATAAATTTTAATAACAATAAACTTTCAAATAACAAAAAAAATTTTATAAGAATTTTTTATCAATAATTTGGTAATTTTAAGCTTTTTTTTTTTTTTGGGTCAAATTCTCCCCAACCGAATCATGTGTGAGGATCTTAAGACTTAAATGACACTAAATAGTTCTTTTAAAGTTGTTGTAAATATGAGGTTGTGATTTTAAATTATCTATAAATATAATAAGTAGCGGAGTTATGACAAAAAATAAAAAATATATTTAAAATTAGCTAAATATAATTGAAAAGACAGCCAATGGCACCCAAAAAAAAAAAAAAAGATAACCAAATTTATCATTGTTTAATTAAAGGAATAATTAATCTTTGGGTCCCTATAGTTTCATCTTATTTTTAATTAGGTCCTTATAAAAATTTTTCTTTTTGTTAGATTCTTTTACTTTCTCATGTTTTTAATTAAATCCTTCCATTTTTTTCTTTTTATCATGTCTTTATAGTTTCACTTATTTTTTAATTATGTCCTTTATGGTTTTAAAAAAATTATTTATTAACTTTATTCTTTAACATTAATTTCATTTTTAAATTAATAATTATATAATTGGATAAAATAATTAATATAATCATTTAGTAATTAATATTTAATCAGAATAATCAATTATATTTAACTATAAAATATTATAATTATATTCTAATTTTAGAAAATTTTTTATTATAATTATAATTTTATAATTATAAAAATTAGAATTGAAAAATAAATAATATATATGTTTAACTAAAAATTTAAAAGAATATCAACATAAGATTATTATAATAATTTATTATTTATATAATAAAGAATAAAAACTACAAAGACTTAATTAAAAATAAAGTAAAAGAATAAGGAACTGATAAAAAGAAAAAATTTATAAAGACCTGATTAAAAATATTTAAAATTATAAGGATATGATAAAAAAGAAAAAAATTATAAAAATCTGACTAAAAACTAGTTGAAACTATAAAGCCTTGCATATTAATTATAGTAACCAATTCATAGATCCATTTGCTTTTTGCAACTTTGCAAATAATCTTATTTTAGGTATTAGGTATCTTTCTCCTTTTTTTAATTCATTTCGCTCCCATAAGTTTGTTTTGTCGGACTGTATTGATATGTATTTTCAAATAAGGAAATATTTAGGCTAGTGACAAAATTGTTGCCGACTTCTTCACCCAAAAAATTGTTGCCGACTTCTTTTATATCCATCAATTTGGCTCCTGCTCGTTCTTTTTTATACGGACCAGACATTCTCGAAAGTTCAAAACAAACATTGGTACAGTCTTTTAGGTCAAATATATAAATAAATTAATAAAAATTATTGGTATCATCCAAACTTTAACAGGAGACATGTGATATGTCAGTTGTTGCCTTTTGATTTTTCTCCTTATTTTTACAGTTTGGTGCCAAAAAAAGTTGGAATACGTGATTAAAATATTTTATTGATAATCATATGCAGAATTTTAAAATAAATAAATATTAGAAAATTTGAGCTTTAAGGAAGCAGTTGAATTGGCATGACCACTTTACTGTTAGCTCACTCGTTTGGATTGGAATTTGTTCTACTTCAAATAAATAAACCTAATCCAATGAAAATAAATACAGTGCACCATGTGCCTTACAACCAAATTTTTTTTTAAAAAATGGATATATTACTATTATATGATATTGCTATATATATATATATATATATATCCAGAGACTTAGCTTGAGGTTGATTGAGTTGAATTGACCATTGCACTGCAGAGAGAATGTCTAAAGTAGAAGGCACTTGACGAGTTTACAAGTGGAATTGAGGTCTCTTGGGTTTCCGATCGGCGATATCTGATATTTTCTTCAGTTTCACGGCTACATCATTCAACATATCAGGTCAAGTTTCTCCTCTCTCGTATATCTCTTACTGTAATATCTGCAGCAATCTTTCTTTTTAATTGTTCTCTATGTAACTCTGAGGCTTTAAAGATACGATTCAGACACCAAAAAGGATAGATTTTCCTGTCATATGCTCAAACTTCCTAGAAAGAACGAAAAATGCAGAGCAAATGATGGATAAGCAAAGTATAGCTAATGGCATTCTGGTTCCTTTAGAGGAATATATACTCTGCTATTTAGTGTCGCCTAATCTCAGGGAGTCAATTCAAGGAAGATGAAGGTCATTAGAAAATCTTAAGCATAAAAAATGTTTATTTTCGTTGAAAATTGAAAGCTTTGGTGATGAGTTGGGCTGTAAAAGAAACTTACTTAGGGTAAAAGTCACACCAATAAGATCTGCAGGCCACATTTGGCATGTAGATGGATTTTGAAGGAATGAGAATGAAGATAAGGATAAAAAATTGCCTTTACAAACATGTTTGATATAATGGGCTGTTTCAAAAGAAAGGTTGTATAACTTCTGTTTGGTGGTACGTGGGTTTTAAACATCGCAAAGGGATTGAATTTAATAAAAGGCTATCTTGCTAGAGGCTTGCACAAACAATCCGCCAATAAGATACTTAAATGAATAACAAGACTTATACTCGAGCTCTTCTGAGGCAGATGATGAGCACTTACCAATTGGAACATAATTTGTTAGCTAAATTTCATTACGGCTGAAGAGAATATAATCAATTTGCATTTTTAAATTTTTTGCAGGTCCATCAAAAGATTGTAAGAAAATGGAGATATTGGACAACCAAAATGAAGAAAAAACAGATTTGTTATGCTCCTTAAAAGCCAAATTACAAGCTATAGATTCTTTGGAGCTTCCCTTATCATCAGGATGTTGCATCTACAAAGTGCCACCAAAAATTCGGCAAGTGAATGAAGAAGCCTACACCCCTACCTTGATATCAATTGGTCCGTTTCATCATGGAGACAAGAGACTGGAATCCATGGAGGAGGTCAAACTGTGGTGCCTTAACAACTTTCTAAAGAGGAGTAAAGAGAAATTGTTGGAGGATTATGTTCAAGCTGTAAGAGACTGGGAAGATGAAACTAGACGTTGTTATTCAGAAACCATACCGATGAAGAGCAATGATTTTGTAAGCATGATTCTAACCGATGGTTGCTTCATCATTGAGTACTTTCTCTCATATCTAGGGCTGTTAGAACAAAACCCTTGGCGTTTTAAATTATGGCCAACGTGTGACATAAACCTAGACTTGATTTTACTCGAGAATCAATTGCCATTTTTCGTCCTTAAAGGCCTATTTGACCTAACTTTTCCCACTGGCTTCAATGATAGGTTTTCATTCACTGAGATAGCCTTCAATTTTTTTAGGAGAGTGTTCCTACACCATATTGTTACAAAAAAGGAACTCCGTTGCAAGTTTACTTTTAAGTATTTTCAACAACACTACCTTGAACAGACGACTACTACTCAATTTGAATCATCTACAGTCACAAGAGTGATCCATCACCTGAATGCTATGCTAAGGATGTTTTACCTACCAAATCAATTACCAAGAAGAGAATTTGGCAAAGTGAAGCCTGTGTATGGTGCAAGACAACTACGAGAGGCAGGGATCAAATTTCAGGTCAATGAACAACAGAAAAGCATTACTCATTTGAAATACTCAAAGGGAGTGTTGAAGATACCATATTTTCAGATCAGTGATTGGACTGAGATGGTGATTAGAAATATGGTTGCATTTGAGCAGTGTCACCTTGCTCTTGAGAGCTATGTGACTGATTATGTGACCCTCTTGAACTATCTTATTGACACTGGAAAAGATATTGAGCTGCTAGTTGAGAAAGGAATCATGGACAACTTGTTGGGCAGCAATGATGAAGTGGCTTCCCTAGTCAACAGCCTTGACAAAAATACTGTGTTCATGACTTGCAACAGTGATTATCAATCTCTATGTGAAGAATTGAACAAGTTCTACGAGAATCCCTACCACAAGTACAAGGCAGTCTTTAAGCATGAGTACTTGAGCACCCCTTGGAGAATAGCATCTTTTATTGCTGCAATTTTGCTCCTTATACTCACTCTAATTCAAACAATATGCTCTCTCCCCTTTATTAATAAATAGGCAGGCCAAAAGTAGTTGTGTAACACAAATTGAAATGTGCAAGTTTTCTATCTGATTTGGCTTGTCAAAATCAACGATGGACTATCCAAATTTTTTTTTTTTTCATTCTAAGAGGATTTAAATCCTTCATATCTACATTAGATAGTTCAAATTATATGTGCATTTTCTAGATCTCTAAGAATGCCTTGGGAATTTTATACCTTGAATAACTCTCAAGTAGTAACTAAATTTGTAGCGTGATCTTTTCCCCGAGTACCCCCTTTTCTATTAGATTTGTATCAAATTAAACTTGCAATCTCACCTATAGTGTTTGTTGAGATTGCAAGAATTACACGCAAAACTCAGGGACAAAAAGATGAAAGAAAGAGGAGGTGTCCTCCAATAAAATTTTAATTCTGTGTTGATGCAAATTAATGTCAAGAGGCATATCTTTCTGAAAGTTGAAGTTAAGAGAAGCAAATCCTTCAAAACTATGGAGATTTACCTGAGAGCAACAAGAAAACAAAAACAGAACAAACTTTCCAGGGATTGATTCGCATGCTATAAAAATTGCTATGGATTCCGAGAGCACTTACAGTAGTGAGAAGGATGAAAAAGGTTTAATAAAGGACGAGGTTGGGTTGTAAGTAATCTTCAGGCCTTCTGAATAATCTTTGCATCTCACAAATCGGGGAGAGGTATCAGGCACATTGGGTTGGTTGTACATTCAAAGGGCATACGACGCGAGGGCATTGAGGTGGGTTTTGAAACGGCATCGTATCAAGTGGAGAGAATCAGAGAAACACATACAGATGCAGTTTTGCATCTCATCTTCACTCTTCGAACTTCTCCAATGTCAGTGGACCAAAAATCAGGGATTAGAGCAGCAAAAATGAAATGAAAAATGAAACATCTTCCTGTTTCCCAAAAAAAAAAAAAAAGAAATGTCTTTTTTACAGGACAGTTATGACCCCTTCTTGGGGCTTTTTTAAAAACTTTTTTGGCCGAAAGTGTTGTTTTCAAACTTCTTAGGATAAGCTAGTGCGAGACAATATATCATATAAGATTGTCTCTAATTAAAAGATATAAATATTTAGAAAAAAGAATAAATTATGTATGGGTAATATTTTTTATGAAAATAAAATTTTATAATAAATTTCTATAAATTCTTAAACTTTTCACATGTTGAGGTTTATCGTTGGCAAATGTTGATGGAGGCCGTTGGTACAGTAGCATATGATGAAAGGTAAAAGGCAAAGGGGTAATTTGGTTATTTTAATAAGATCAATGTTTTATTTTTATAAGGCATTTAGACTTCTAGATATTAGGTTTTGATAGATGAGTCTTGCATCTTGGCAGCTTCATCTCTTAGAAGATAGAAGGTTGTTGGTGGCAGTGAATCTAAAGTGGACTTTGTGAGATTTCAGGTATACTTGGCATACACTCTAGTTCTTTCATTGCCTGCATGTGATGTGATCTGATCATAATAACGGCCGTAATAACGGAGTTGAACATTGGTTATATAGTAAAATGTATCAAGAGAAGAGGAAGAGGGTCTTTTTTCAATCGAGACTGAATGAAGAGTATATTTACAATATATTATCAAAATAAATTGCCTTCAATTTTTTCCTAAATTCTCTCCACTCCCAACCTAACTAAGCTATCTCAACTTTGCTACCATGAAAATTTAATAACATGGTGAATATTATCGTTAACATACAAGCTTTCTTTTATGGGTTTAGGCCCTAACTTAAATGGGTTTAGGCCTGATCTATCAAGAATGGATCAACTCATGGTCTAACATCTCCCATGCGGACTTGGTAGATTTATTGTTAGAAGTTGCTTTTTTCTTTTTCTTCTTTCTTTCATATTAATTGTTTGTCATAACTGTCTAGGCATTATGTCTTTCCAAGATCAACACGTGATAGTCTTCTTCATATAGTTTGATTTCAATATTATATTATGCCATAGATGTTCTAGATCTATTCATATACACTTTCTCACGGCAAATTTAATCCCTCTCAAGCCAATAAAAAACTCAAATTGCCTTAATATCCTTACTTATGAAATTAACAAAATAATATCATAAGAGACTTGTCTCAAATAGCAGCATAGGTGTGTAATTTCAGGTAATCTTCTTTTTGCTCATATGTCATTTCAATATATGCATCAACCACTTAGTATAATGCCTTAGATTGTATCTATTATGATCGTAGGCTACATGTTAAAATAGCAGTTATTGAAGCATACCTCCATGATAATGTCAAAGTCAAAAGATATTAACAAAAGTATTGTATGTTCTAGGGACTCATATAGCAACAAAATAGGCAACTATTCACTTGTTTCCCTCAAGTTTATCCTCACAGATCCTCATTTGTATATGATTAATTACATATGACGAATGCCCAGTTGAATATAATGGATGCCTATTTAATATGGGTTTATTGTATAATACGAATGCTAATTGTATGTGACATATACTCACTTAAATATGACATATGCTCACTTGTATATGGATTTATTGTACAATACAAATACTCACTTGTATACAGATGCTTACTTGCATATAGATTTTTATTACATGTTATTACATAATACGGGTGTCAATTACATATAATAGATGCTTATTCACATATGGGTTCTTATGTTATTACATAATGCAAATGCTAATTGCATATGCAAATAAGCATGTCATATGATTAGCATCCGTCAAGGCATTGTAATCGTTTTCCATCATACTTATTGACACTTGAGAGCCCCACATCTTTACATTTACCATTCTGCGAGTTTTTAAAACAATTTTTCCTTTTCATGGTATAATGCCATCCGTGTTCAAGTGTAAATTTTAAGACTTTGGACATTACTTTTGATTTTTAATACAAGAGTTAGTTAAATATTGAATTTGATCTTAAATATAGGACCTTAACTTAGCTTGTCTTCCAAATTGATAATTTTTTTCTCTCAAATATTCTTATTGATTGTAAATGATTTCTGTCAAAAGATAATTCCAATACATACAATTAAGATAATTTAAGAAAGTTAACACATATCTGTTATAAATAACTAACTTAACTAATTTATTTAATATTTGTAAATTAGTTATCTAACTCTTATATTAAAAATCATTGTTAATAAGTGCATGTTGAATCACAAAGATAATTATATACCACTTAGCGTTTAACCCATGTTTTAGAAAAATGTGTCCTACAAGAAACTGTTGGCAAAGGCAGGGGCAAGTTTTGCTTTGGAACACGTGGAGAATCAAGAAATTAAGTTAAAAAATGGAAACGAATATGCTTTTTTTTTTTTTACCTATTTGAAACAGTTTACACTTTAAATCTTGGGGAAATAATCAGATATGTGTGTGTATCCATTTGATTTCTTAACGCACAATCATTTATTAAATAGTTTAATTGCCCCTATTATTATATTTAAATTATTTATTATACATATTCAATTTCAATTATGTAGCAAATCAACTTCTCAATATGCACATCAATACAATTCAAATGCATGGTGCTCTGTTTATCAATCTTAACACAAAATTCATCTATTACTATATAAAAGTAGAGTACAAAACATAACTTACTAACAGACTGCCACTTGACTTCATCAGAATGTAGATAAATGGGTTTTTTTTCTTTTTTTCTAAAACTAAGATTTTATGTCCAACTCTCTATTTATGCGTTATTCACCACCATAATACATGTTCCTCCTTATTCCCACTACCTATCTCTTTTTGTGGTAGAATCAATTAGTTATATCTCATAATGCAGTATTTTTTATTTAAATGGTTTTAGTTGAATTCTTAGGATGTATTGTTTATTTATATTTTAGTTGAATTGTCTGTAGATAAATTTTTTATTTTTTACTTTTGTTAAAGCCACATTTCTACCCTTGATCTCTCTATTTATGTGTTTTTCTTGGGAATTAGTTCGATCATATTTATTTGAGTGCACGTTTCATGTCTCTCTATTTATTTTTGCAAAATAAATGATTTTTGTTAATGGTAGATAAATCTACTTTTTTATAATTTTTTATTAATTCAATTAATTCCAATTTATTGCAATTATCTCCAACAATGAGTCTTATTTTTTCTATTTTTTTGTAAAAATCAAAATACCCTTTATATGGAAATATTTTAAATTAAGAAAAACAAATAAAATTATATAACTTCTCTTATCCTGAAAATCATGGCATATATGCGAGGCAGGATGTATGTTCAAAATTTGAAATTTAATGGTATTATTTAAAATTAATTATGCTTGAAATTTAATTTCAGCTGATCTATTAGTATATTGAAAATAATATCCTACGCTCTAAATCTAAACTATTATTTATACCTGAAATATTTATTTTTTTATTTATGAATTATTTTGAAATCTAATTCAAGTGAAAAATTATTTTACTTTTGATATTTAGAATTAAAATTTATTTAGAATAAAATAAAGTGTTAATTTTTAAGGAAAACAATCGATGTCTTTTATGGATTAGCTTAATCAAAAAAATAAAATACAAACTTAAATATATTAGTCAAGATATTTTCTTTAATGCTAGTATGTAATTTTAATAATACGAACTATTCAATTTCCTAATATATTGAATAGTGAACCTATTTTATATTTTATTTGACATTTGTCTATTATTAATGATCTCAAATAGTAAATTTTCTAATTCTCATTACAATAATCAACACATTTTATGTTTTATATTAAATACCTAATTCAATCTTAACTCTACGGGATATGCAGATTTCGGGAGGAAACAACCAGTGTGCATATGATGTTTGTGTATGGTGGAGGAGGGTTATGGGGGCTATGATAGTTAGTCAATTATCACAGTTATCTAAATAGTTACTCCTCCTTTTCTTTTTTCACATGGATAACTAAGATGACATGGCTATCACTCTTAAAAGATTTACATTAGAAGTCTTATTTTATTATTGTTTATGGCGATGGCCACGGGACTCCATTTTTATATTGAATATAGATATTTTGATATTGTTTTGGTAGTTTTATATTATTTTAAGTTTATATTGTCAATTCCTGAAGTTATTGATCACGACAACTAGTTTCAACTTATAGGAGTATATTTTTGTATGGTTTTCAAAATATTTTAACTCACTAACCATTTTGTCTCCATTAATTTTTCTTGTATTAAATAGCCTACTTTTACAAAGAATCAGATATCATATTTGTCCAACATAATATTATTGATCATGACATTATCTATGTAATTATTGAATATAATCAAATATTTGAGTTTAAATCCATTAACCCTTTTGTCTTCATTAATTCAATCTTTTTAAAGGAACATCCATTTATATACCTACACATATAGTATATTTCTAAAAATGTTGATAATGGATCTACCTGTACTGCAAATTTCAAAATTTTAATTATATTTTATTTTAAATTAAGTTAAAATCATGACTTAAAATAGTAATGTAATACTCAACTAATTATTTTGTGGTAATTCAATTTTTTATCTCATATAAAAGAAACCACCAATTCATACCCGTACAATAGCACCATGCTAGTTTACCTAAATATCATACAACGAGCTAATTTCAAGAAATTATTAAATTATTAAAAAAAGGTTTACATTTAAAGAATGAATTATATAAAATTAAAGAATGATGTTCTTTTTTATTAAAGATTTAGTGACTATATTGATATTGAAAATGCATTAAAAATAAAATATAATTTAAGTAAATCTTCTCTCTTTTTGTTTTTTTGAGTATCTCGTACCACTGATCACGGTTGAAGCCGTACCTGTGACGCTCAATCTGGTCAGCCCCGTCTTCTTCAGCTTCATCACCGGCCGTCAGTGGATTTATGCTTTGAGTGAAACTGCTTTCCTCCGAAAAGCGAAGCCTCTGTGTCAATGTCTTCCTTCTTCGGAGTCCTCGTTGGGGAATATGCTTCTAAATTGGTAATTTTTCTTTCTTCTGAATGATTTCCTTCTTCGTTCTCAATTTCTCATCGTCATCTGTGCATGTGTTTGCGTTCTCTGTTCTCGGCGGCTATGATCCCCGCCGTCGGCTCCGATCGGACTCCGGCAGCCCACCCTCAACCTAACTTCTTTCCTTTTTGTTCAGTTTCTGGTTTTGTTCAGTTGGTTGATTGAATTTGCTTATTCCACTTCTCGGATTCGATCGGCTTCTGTTTTTTCAAACAAATTTTTTGGTATGGATCTGCCATTGTATCAATCTGTGCTGGAAATTTTTGCCTGATTGTGCTGTTGTTCAGCGTATGAGAACGATGGAGGAGGGGAACACTTGTCCAGGACAAAAGTGTCATTTCGCTTTTACTTTTTTTTATAATAAAAAATAAATGTCATTAACTCGCTAAAGAAGAACAGAATAGAATGGTTTATAAATAATTTTTTAATTATAATTTACAGACAAAATATCTATTAATAAATTATTCCAAACGAAGTCGAAATCCCCTGGCCCCAAAAAAGCCAACCATACGGTGTCTATGCTTATAGTGCCAATTCAAGAACATGAACGTTCCGTTCCTAGTGTTGCGCTAAATATGGACTTTTTCCGATTTTCCTAATTTCTATTTTTTATTGCGTACTGTACTTTCTAAATACAGAAAATTTGAATTCGAATCTACTCATTGATGTTTTATTTTGATCTCTCCTCCTCCTCTTTTTTTTTTTCCCTTTTTATAAGGTAAGAATGTGAAATGAGTTTATTTGACTTGGTCAAAGCACTTCTTTTAAGTGAGTGCCAAGTAGTGGTGTTCAACTATGTCTTGTCCCAATATCTCGTTCTTATTCCAGTTATTTTGGGACGGGACGAAAGCGGGACGGGACAAAATTGTTTCAAGATGGGATGAGACGTGAGACGGGAGTGTCCCGTCCCTGTCCCGTCCTAATATAATATTTTTATTTTTAGTTGTTATATATTTATTTTATTTACCACTGTAATAGTATTTTGGTAATGATATTTATCAATTGTTATTTCTTATTTGTTTATAAGTTATTTTTGTATGAGTTACATGATATTCCTTGTAGTAAATATTTTAGGTTTGTTTATTTTTTGTCTCTCATGATTACAGAAAACATTTTTCTTTGTTAGTATTTTGTCATTTTTATCTATTTTCCTTACATAGTTTTTATTATAAGTTTTTACATTTCTTGTATAGTTAGTTTTCAAATTAAAAAATTTTTAAAAATTACAAAAAAAGATGAGACGTCTCTGTCCCGTTCCAATTGGGGAAGAAGAAAAAAATCTTGCTGTTCAGCTTAAAAGTAGCAGAGAATTATTTTACTGTGGTGTTCAGATTAGTTTCTGCTTTTGTAATGAAAAAAGATTTCTATATGCCTTTCTTTTTTTTTTGGTGCAAAAAGATTTTATATCTTAACTTTTTATATATGATTATTGATATTCTTACAAAATTCAAAAAAGAAAATTGAAATCTAACAATTTCAAGCAGTTCTCTTCTCCCCAAAAAAGCAGTTAATAGAGAAAAGTTTCCTTAGAAAGGAAGTATCGTGCTATATTCGGAATATGAATGTTTAGTAATGATACACCAGATATGGGCGTGAAGTGTGATTCTCTGTTTGCCCAATTTTCTCTGTGTGTTTTTTTCCCCCCTTAAATGCCAACTCTAGAAATACAGAGAATTCAATTCAAACATATTAATTTCTTTCTCTTGTTTGGCAGCGAATACCTCCCCTGTTTGTCTCCAGATTTTCTAGTCTTGCACCAAAAACAGCAACACTTCTTTATTCTTCAAAAAGATTATGGACGGTTGATATTGAGGAAGAAGATAACAAAAAATTGTATTTCAAAAGAGGTTGGAATATATTTGTAGAAGACAATGCTTTAGAAACTGGGGAGTTCATAGTTTTCAAATTTGATGGGGATTCAACATTTAAAGCCAACATCTACGGAAAATCTTACCTCAAAAGAAAATCCTCAATGTCAGTGTCTTCTTTCTTCAAAGTCCTCATCAATGGCGAGTCCACTACTAAATTGGTAATTTTCTTTCTTCCTCACTGGTGTTTTCTTATTTCGACAGCTGAAAAATCCCTCTAAATCTTTTTTCCCCCTTAATTGCAGAGAATCCCTTTATTGTTTGTCTCCGGATATTCTACTCTGGTCCCAAAAACAGTAACATTTATGAGAGCTTCTTCAAACAGATCATGGAAGGTTGATATTGTGGAAGAAGATGACAAAAGGTTATATTATAAGACTGGCTGGAGTGAATTTGTAGACGATAATGCTTTGGAAATTGCACATTTTTTAGTTTTCAAGTTTGATGGGGATTCAACATTTCGAGTTAAGATCTATGGAAGCTCTGCTTGTGAGAAGGAACTTGAGAATCAGCCATGTATCAATCAGAAATACTGCATACAGTATTATAATAAACAAACAACAACTCTAGATCATCAAGAAAATCTGAAAGGAAGTGATCCCATTGATGTTGATCGACAAAAGTCGAAGCCAAATGTTGAGATAACGGAGGAGAGGGTTGATCATGATGATCGTCATGAAAATTCTAACCAAGAAACAGAGGCTCCGCAGAAAGAAGCTGAAGAACAAAGCGATGAAACTATTGCTGTTCAACCTGAATCTCATTGCCCTCTCAAGAAAACTGGTAAGCTAATGAAAAAGATAGCTCCCATTGATAATCTTGTTCAAAATCATAATGTTTTTACTCTGAACTTACTTCTAATTACAGAACTAGTAAGAACTATAGTTGTCACTAGAACAAGTTCCTTTTCCGTTCAAATCATTGTGGAGAAGTTTTTATATTCTTTGAAGTCTGTACAGCAATTATGAAATCAGGCTTTTTGTTAATTTCTATTTAATTCATTATAAGGTCTAAATCTTAGCTTATATTTTGATTAATTTGGGAAGGCAACAAGCATGATGGACCCATGCGTAAAGCATCATCTAGTAAAGGCCTCAGTTTGGAGTCTAAGAGGGATCCTTCATTCAAAATTCTTCTGCAACAAGCCTATGCAGAAAAGGGTGTCATGGTAGGTTTTTCTGATCACCCCAATTGATTTATTTTCTTGACTTAATGCCTTTGACAACAACAAAATGAATCGTGTCGAGTAGTGATAATTATATATGCATTTATCATCCTACCAGACACTGGTGTAGTCTGGTTATGAATATGATGATGCCTTTTGTTTCTGATGTCACATGCATGCATATATCAAACAAAATTTGGTTTCATGTTTTTACTTTTTAGTTCATACTTAGTTTCCATGTTGTATATATGTATTTATGTTAAGATTACTGATGAGGTGATATTTGGATTAATTAATGTGCTTGAGGAACTTGTGCAGTGCTTTCCAACAGAGTTTTTCCAGAAGCATATGAAAAACCAGAGACAAGAGGTAGAGATTGAGACAGTAGAAGGAGTATGGACTGTGACATTACTCCCCCATATGAAAAGGACAAGGACATTTGCCAGATTAAGCAAAGGTTGGTCAGAGTTCGCCAAAGCGAACCGTTTCAAAACTGGAGAGACTCTCTTGTTTAAAATGATCCGAAAAGGTGATCGTCCCAAGTTTATTGTTGACAGGCAACGATGTTAAGAGTGTAAGAGATCCATGTAGCACCAAAAAATTTTCCTGATAGGTCATGTAAATGGTAGGCTTAATTAAGAAAGTTTCTCACGATAGGCAATGTAAATGGTAGAATAAGTGTGTCATGCTGAGGATCTTTCACTTGCCTTTTTGTAAACTCCTATGAAATGGATTTGGAAATAGTGAAGCATCTTTTTGTATTTGTGTGTGGATCCTGGGTATGATCTGAAATGTAGGGAAACATGTTTTAATCAAATGTCTCCTTAATTTGTGATGCAACATCTTTTTGTTTGCTTCTTTATTGACAAAAGTAGGAATGTCTTAAATTCAAGCTGGACGTTTCTCTTATTTCTAAGATAAGTTGTGTGCATTTTATGCCACTCAGACCAAAAATTCAGAGGTTATTAAATAATGTAAGAGATTGTCAATATAGAAACTAGTTAAAAGATTAAATTTGCTTCTAAACATAAATTTAAAAAACAAAAGTAGATTGAAATTTTATATTTAGAATTAAATCAACTATCCAATTAGTTCTTATATTAAGTACAGGCAGCTAACTAACCTCCACAAATATTGAAGGGAGAATTACAATGAGATCTCAAAAAAAATTACAAAATAAGTCCCAGAAAATGTTATTCACATTCTAAAACTTGTCATTATAAGCTAGTTAGGCTGTTATTGAGACTTTTTAGTAATTATTTTTTTTTTCTTTTGAGATCTTGTTATAATTCTCCTAATATTGAGTGCTGCCAATTGAATAATGATCCCATGTGGCTGTAATAAAGTATGGTATGAACAGAAATGTGTAGAAAAGAAAAGGAATGAAATGGGAATAGAGAGGGGAGAGCGTTGACCAGAAAGTTGATTTCTAAGAACACATTAAAAAATTAGTTAAAATAGTTATTTATAACAAATATATATTAATTTTTTTAAATTATCTTGATTCAATTATGTATATTGAAACTACACTTGATAAAAATATCTTACAATTAATAAAAATATTTTAGGATTGCATTATAAATTGGGGAGAGAAAATATATTGGCGCGTTACGCTTAGAGCTGGTAATACGGGCTGGGCCCGCGGGCCCAGCCCGCCAACCCGCCAAAAATGGCGGGCTCGGGTTGGCAAAATGCCAGCCCGCCAAGGTGCGGGCTACTCCAGCCCGCACCGTTTTCAGCCCGCTCCGCCGCGGGCTAGCCCGCCAGTTGGCAGGCTAGCCCGCTTTTTTTTTTTTTTTTTTAATTTTAAATTTTATATAATTTCTAATATGTTATACAACATAATTGGAGGATTTTAACCCCCAAATTTCATATTTACATCTTCTCATCCATGTAATTGCATATGTAATACATACATAAAAGATCTACTTAATTAATTTGGATAAGAAAAATAGTCAAATTAATTATTTAGAAAAAAATATGTGTTAGTTTTTCTAAAATATCTTCTCAAATTATAAATTAATCCTCACATTATTTTATTATAACTCATTACTCAAGTTTAAAACTCCAAATCCAATTTTAACATTACAAACTAAGTCCAAACTTATACAAGTAATAATTTTTTTTAAAAAAAAAAAAGTTAGGCGGGCCGGCGGGCTAGCCCGCCAGCCCGCCTTGGTGGGCTTTGCCAGCCCGCCAAAGTGCGGGCTACTTCAGCCCGCACTGCTTTTGGCCCGCACCGCTGCGGGCTGACCCGTATCCGCACCGCCAGCCCGCATTCCCAGCTCTATTTACGCTTGGGACGCCAGCAGCGGAGATAGTAGGAATGGTACAATATGCCATGGTCCCCCACTAAATCTCTGTTCGGGCGCATATACCTTGTTTCATTCATAGCTCACAATCACACTTCCGCTCTTGCACACCAGCCTTCACTGGCTCTCTCCCTCTCTGTAGCCTCGGTCGCCCCTCCGTGCCGTCGTCACTCATCTCCGTTGAATCGTTTACCGTCGTCACTGTCTCTCTACCCTTCGTCCACCTCCTCGACATCCAGCAGAAACGTTCACAACAAAGCTTGAATTGTTCAAGCTAGTCTTCATTATTCTGGCTTCGTCTTAGTTTTCTCTTTTGCCTTTCGCTGTCAGCGCCTCCTTTCTCCCCACCAGTCTCCGATCTGCAGGTAGGAAGTCCTTCGTCGCCTAGATCTACAGGTTCCCTGTCAGCCCTCTCTGTTGCTGCCATGCCCACTTTCTTGCTTCATTAGTTCTTGCAGATCATTTGATATCGTCCTCCACCATTTCTCCTGATGATTTCCTGTTGCATTCTCTTCGATCGGGTCTTCCATTGAAGCAGTGCCGGCTATTGCTCCACCGTCTCTATTCTCTTTCAGGTTTGTGAGTCTCCTTCCTGGTTCCATTTAATCTAGCTGGGCCACATACATACATACATACATACATTGGGTTCTAATCCTAATTAGACAAGTCTCATCAGACATATTAACTAGCCCAAATCGGGTTCTACGAATGGTGATTACTATAAAATGATGAGGGAATCTTTTTGGTGGTCCTGAAATGGGATTCTATAATCACTGAACTTGATTGTAAACTAGCAGATAGGGGTACGGAGGATATGGATATCGGTACTGCTATATCGCCTACTCAGTTCTTATTTAAGTGCAGTACCTTTCTGTCTTTTTAAATTGTAGAATTCTTTAAATATTAAGAAAAAAATCTCAAAAAAAAAATACTTCTTAAATTTCTGATTTTTTTTTCTTGGGGGGAAAAAATCAATCCTTGTAATTTCATATCCTTGAAGAGCTTAATTAATCCTCATAGTTTCATACCCTTAATCCAACATGGCATAACACCATGTGATCTTTGCTGATGTGTTGAAACAGTAGGCTGAGTCAGCATCCCACGTAGATCAAAGTTTGCTGACTCAATTCCTCTTTTATTTTTAATCTTACTCTGTGTGTGGGGTCCACTCATGTGGGGTCCACAGGCGGGTTGCGCGTCCGATTTGCATGTCTGCGGCTCCTGTACAGAGTCAGAGGCGCACAGAGCTGAGCTCTCATACGGAGAAAACGAAGGTTTGAATTCATCCTCTGCTTTTCTTCTTCTCCTTCTTCAGCTAGGGCAAGTTTTCTGTTTCTCTTTCTCTGACGAAGAAAAGGAAGGAACCTTGAAGCAATAAAAAATGGTGATTATTATCAGCCTTCGTCTCTTCTTCAACCTAAGTCTCTTGGGTCGATTCAGTGACACCTGGTGAGTTCTACTTGCAAAGAAGAAAGCTCCGTGACAATGTCTTGCTTCTTCAAAGTCCTCATTGGCGAATGGAAGACTAAATTGGTAATTTTCTTTCTTTCTTTCTTCTTGCCGTCGATGTGTGTTTGCCTTCTCTGTTATCAGTTTCTCGTCTGTTTCATGTGATTTCTTATGCTTCTCAGTTTATGGTTTGGTTTGGTCGATTTGTGCCTTTTCGTTTCTTTTGTTTTTTTTTTTTTTTTCTGGTCATCGATCTGTCTCTGTGATTTTGCTGTGCTCTGAAGAGTGAAGAACGATGGAAGGGGAGTGGGAGAAACAATGGTCAAGGATAAATATGTCATTTCACTTTTATTTTTATTTTTTTCTATATTGAAAAATTCATTAAAAATTCTCATATCATCCCAAAATAGCAAATGCAACCTGCCGTTCTATTTTTATTTTTTTTTCTTTCTTTTAATACAAAAACTATTCGAAACTTCTTTTGGCTGTTCTCTTTTTTCTTCTTTTGACTCTTGGGTCAGCTGTGTTGTTTGTTACGAAGGAAATGAAGAGAAAATTTTTTTAATAAGCTTAATTTTAAAAATTATAAAAGCGGGGTTAAATTTTTTTTTTACTTATTTTTTTTTACTTTTTTAATTTTATATCTTTTATTTATTAAAATTTTAAAACCTTACTTTTCTAATATTTTAAATTGAGCTTATTAAAAAAAATTTTTTTCTTTCCTCCTACCAAAAATGCGGTTAGTCTTAGATTTTTATTATCCCTACGCGAAAACTGGTTGAAAGGGAAAAAAAGACATTGAACTATTTCTAGCCTGAGCTTCTAGTGCAGCGTGATGCTCAAATCATTTTTTTTCCCTTTAAATATTTTTTGATGCAGCGAATCCCTCCACTGTTTGTCTCCAGCTTTAGTCTTACACCTAACACAGTAATACTGATCAATCCTTCTTCAAAAGAACGATGGGTGGTTGATATCGAGGAAGAAGATGAAGATCCCACAGAATTGTACTTCAAAGAAGGTTGGACTAAGTTTGTAAAAGAAAACACTTTAGAGACTGGGGACTTCCTAATTTTCAAATTTGATGGGAAGTTAAAATTCGAAGTTATTATCTGTGGAAAATCTGCCTGCGAGAAGTGGGTTGAGACTCAGGCAAAGGCACAGGCACAGGCACGTACTTATCAGAATCTCCACAGCCAAGGCCATAGTAAACAGACAGCATCAACTCAAGATCGTGGAGAAAATGGGAAAGGAAAAGATCTAATCGATGTTGAAGAAAGACCAAGTCTTGATGTTATTAAGATAAAGGAGGAGAGAGTAGATTCTGACGTATATGGCACTATTAGCCAAGAAACGTGCGATGAAACGTGGGCATCCCAGTCTGAAGATGAGGATTATGATGATGATGATGATGATGATGATGATGATGATTATGATGATGAAGAAGAAAAGGAGGAGGAGGAGGAAGAAGAAGAAGAAGAAGAAGAAGAAGAAGAAGAAGAAGGTGATGAATTTGATGATGTTAAATCTGAACCTCATGGTTCTATCTTGAATATTGGTAAGCTATTCATCATGAAGAAGCTGGCCTTTTATTACTAATTCTGTTCAAATTCATGCTTCTATTATTACTCTGAACAAGGATCTAATTACAGAATTAATGAGTATAATAATTATAGCTCAATGTTAAACTTGGAACACATAATCATTCTATTTTAAATAATGGTGGTGGGCGTTTGTTACGTTTTTAAAGTTTGGACACCAATTATGCATAGTTAGGTTTTTGTTGCTTTCCTTTTAAATTATTATTTAGTTGTAAGATTTGAGTTTAGATTTTGATTAATTAGGGGAGGACTACGGCAACTTGGGCTCCAAGATCCCTTCATTCAGCATCCATCTCCAGCACGCCTATGCAAAAAAGGGTTGCATGGTTAGTTCTTTAGAGATCATTCATATGCTCTTTTTTTTTTTTTTTTAATTCCTCCTTCCTTAATTTTTCATTATAACATTCATCGTCATCACATATTTATGCTCTTTAGTTCATTGTTTCCACTGGATTCGGGAAAAAACACTAACTTTAGCAACACAATAAGTTACATATTGTTGAAGTATGATAGAGCTGGAGATACACAAAACATTTACAACACCATTCCCTAAGAGCTATAATAGACGGCTAAGAAAGTGAAGTTAAAATGGCCAATACCAGTGGTCAAGAGAGGATTATACCATAGTTCAGGGAGAGAACACTGATTTGTGAGTTGTTTTGTCCTCTGTAACTATGTAATCTCTGTTCAGTACTTTGAGTTTGTTTGATGTAAGGATTTTGGCAATAATCAGTTGCATCATCTGCAATTTATTTAGTTATATTATTCCAGTAATATGAAAAATCCAAACTACCCCCATTTGTTGGCTGTTTCTGCAGTAACTTTTCTTTGGTTCTGTCGACGAGACTCTTGCAGTGCAAGGTTCTAATAAAATACAGTTTAAAATTATGCTTTATCATCTCTGATGTTATATTTGTATCAAACACAGGTTTCATCTTTTATACTTTTAGTTCAGATAGAGTTTCTATAGTGTAGTAATTTTGGGTATTGAGTTGATTTCAAGTGATGGTTAGACTAAAATGTAATTGAGTAATTATTTGTGCAGTGCATGCCAACTGACTTCTTCCATAAGTACATGAGAAAAGAGAGACAAGAGGTGGAGATTGAGACAGAAAAAGGAGTATGGAAAGTCACATTACTTCCCCACATGAAAAGAACCAGAACATTTGCTAGATTTAGTAAGGGTTGGTCAGAATTTGCTCGACAGAATCGCTTTATGATTGGACAGGTTCTCATTTTTGAAATGATTCGGAGAGGTAATTGTCCCAAGTTCATTGTTTATAAGCAAAGGTAATTCATCACAAGTCTTGTAAAATGGTAGGGTTAATTTGTAATTAGCTATTAGGAAATGAATTTGATATGTATGTGTGTATTTCCTATATATGATATGAAATGTAGACATGTGATGGATTCACTTAATCATCATTAATGTCAATATATGTGTGCGTGCTATTGAAAGTCAAACTTTTTAGTTTTTGCAAAGTGATAAACAGTTGAGATTTTGAATTGATGATAGAGATAATACAAGGCTTCAATTTCTTTAGGGGAAAATAAAATTAGAAAAACGTTATTTTTATTTTATGAATAAATTTTGTGGTTCATGTCAATTCATAAGAAATCAAATTAAATAAATTAGATATATAATAAAGCAAATCATTAAAAACTAGAAGAGCAAAAATAAAATTTCCCTTAATTTCCTGTTCAAAGCCAAACTATGATTTGGAGGGCGGGACTCTCTCATAGTCTCATGTCTTGTTTCCTCATGTACTGCACCCCTTATATTTAGCAATTTACTTTCGTTTTCTTTTAAGGAAAAAAATCATCAATCATAAGTAATAAAATAAGGTTTTTAAAATCATTTAGTCACGGTCGGTCCCAAAAAAAAATAAAGGATTAACTCATTTAGTTATGTAATTGTGCAGTTTCTCTTTAAGGTCATTTTTTTCTATGCAATTCTGCCATTTAAAAAAAGAAAATTCACCAATTCTTATAGTTCCTGATTTTTAAGCATCAGGCTTCTATAATTTTTTTTTTCTTTTACTTTTTATTAGGTTCTTAAAGCTTTTTCTCATATAGCTGTTAGTCTCTATGCTCATAATATATTAATTAATTAAGGGCCCTGTTTGGGTTGGCGTTCAACCCATTTCTAAGCAACTTATTACTAACAAGCATGTTTGGATAATTTTTTCTCCGTTTGGAATAGGTTTTGGTCTATTTAACTTATGAACCAAAAGCTATTTAAATTCTGTTTGGAATAGGTTTTGGTCTATTTAACTTATGGACCAAAAGCTATTTAAATCGTGCGATTCTAAGAAGCATATTAGATCTTATTTTTACCTTTTCAGCCATGTTTTAATAACTGTGGAGGAGAAAAGGAATGTGGGAACAAGAGTGCTTTGATTGTTTTTGTCCTTGTCTATAGGGTTACTCATTCATGTTATCAAAATGACAATAATGTGGTACGGCATTAGCACTATACATTTCAGTTGTTGTTGTTGTTATTTCCTCCTAAAGGTATGGCATTATACACATATGATACATATATATATTTAATAAAATTCATCTTCAATCATTTTATAACTAAATTTATTATTTCAATTATAATCTAAACAACTTTATTTTTACAAACTTGTTTATTTAGAAAATAGTTCAGTCTCATCTTTAAGAAATTTACTACTCTCTCTATTTTTTTTATAAGCTTTAAATAATAAATTTGGGGACAAAAAATTGGTTGAAATGAATTGAAACTTGAAAGTAATAAATAGGTTATAAATGTATTTTTTATTTCAAATATGCTATTATTATAGATAAGAAAAGATATAAAATAAAATGTATGGAAAGATGTGACTAAAGGGTACAGCATAAGAGAAATAATAAATTACGTACATGTATTTAAAAGTCATTCTTTTAATAATGATGCAAACAACTCCGCTTATAAACTGATTTATTGACAAAAGTTAATTTAAATATAAATCATATTATTCAATCTAACTTTTTAAAAATCAAATTAAAAATAAGATATTTTTTCAACTGTCAATCTAAACAGGCACAAGGTTGATGTGGATGATGATTAAGTAATATATAATGTAAGTTGCCAGAAAATACAAAATAAAAAAGGAGATTTTTTTTAACAAAATAAAGTGATTAAATGAAATTTATTTATTATTGATATAAAAGATAATTACTATGGCCATAATCATCTCTTTGCATCTATATAATCTGTAATCTGGTTTATTTATATGTTATTTTATTTAAATTCATGTGGCAAAATTAATTTACATGCATTCCAAATGAGATTCACGTCATCAGCTATTCCTCTTATACATTAATAAATTATGACTATAGGAATTCATGAAAATCATAACAACACAATAGAAGAAATTATATTTAAAAAAAACTTTCATGTTAACTCTTCCTTCTTCTTTTTTCATTTAACTTGTAAGAAAGTGAAAACAAAAGAAACTACAGTTTTGGCGCTACATGACTGTTATGTGACCAATAATTATAAGGTGAGTTTGGATCAGTGATGGTAAAACTACCTTATACTTCATCTAATTTTTGCAAACATGAGTTAGGTTAAAAGTTAATTAGTGTAACATATTTTATGTTTGGATTGACATTTATAAAAAAGTCAATTTAACAAGTTGAAACTTATTTAGATTATTAATAAAAAAAATAAATTTAGATGTAAAGTGACAGAAAAAGACATGAATTTTATTGAATAATAAATATTAATATTATATGTTTATGATGTGATAGTTGTTAAAAAATAATTAAAATTAAAATTTTAAAAAATATTTATTATTGAGAATATTTAAAATTAAAATAATATATTAAAATTTTAGGAAAAATTGGGAGAAAATCCACCTATTAAAAATATAATTTGTGAGAAAGATCTAAATCAAAATACAAGTGCTTTATATGTATAAAATTTACACTTAGTATATAAAAATTTATCAATTGAATCTTACTAGTTAAATTTTTAACAGAAATTTTTTCTCAATCTTCCCTAAGTCTTATAAACATGATTGTGAATTAAAAAAAAATAGATTTATTGTTTAAAAGATGATTCATTGATATTAAAAACCGACTAAAGGGACTGGGGAAAAAAAAAGAACTCAAGAGATCAATGAAAGGACCCTCTCTATAACAAAAAAGGAAAAGAAAGCATTCTCTTACTCACCTCATGCTGATCCCACTTTTCTCACTGAGTACGGCGGAGAAGGTTTAACGTATGTTTGGTACAAGGGAAAGGAAAGGAAAGGAAAGGAAGGAGAGAAAAAATTTTGATGAGCTTGTTATAAAAACTTGAAGAAATGGGGTTATAAAATTTTGATAAGAAGAACATGTAAGATAAAAGAATAATTAAAATAAATAAAAAAATTTTAACCCCACTTTTCAATTTTTTAAAACAAACTCATCAAAAAAATTTCTTTTCTTCTTTTTTCTCTGTCTTCCTCGTACCAAATAAACGAAGTAAAACTTTGATGGGGAAAAAACTACTTTTAGAGGACAAGTTCATTTACTACTAATGCCTGTCCAAATATATATTTTAACCTTAAAGTTATTTTTTCCAACTTTTTAGAGTGAAGAATTCAGTTTGGAAGTCACCTTGGTAATCCCAAAGTGGGTAGTTTAATTTAAGTTATTTTAAGTAATTTTATGCTATAAACAGAAAATATGTAAAAAAAATTATTTAGTAAAACGCAAAATTAAATTTCCGGGCAAGAGAGAAAATAGGTCAATGGACAAAAAAATCTATTTTATTGATTTTTTTTTTCAAAAACAAGAAAATAATAAAAATTGGCCGATGCACACGAGGTGCATTGACCATGAGAGGATTGTGGCCGTCCAGACGAGCCATTGATCGTCTGAAGACTCAACTCCTCCTCAAGAGGAGTTCGGTAGTTCACACTTCACACTTCTGCAACAATCTCAATCGTAACTCCATGGATTTGAACTACCCTTCTTCCCACACAATCCCTGTGAATGGCACGATTCCGAATGCGTCAAACTCTGTCGGTGGTCGGAAGCCCATAGCTTTGTGGCCGGGAATGTACCACTCGCCGGTCACCACCGCTCTGTGGGAAGCCAGGTCGAAGATCTTCGAGAGGCTTCTAGACCCACCCGTGGACGCCCCACCCCAGAGCGAATTGCTCACCAAAACTCCTTCCCAGAGCAGGACTAGCATTCTGTATAACTTCTCCTCGGATTTCATCCTCAGAGAGCAGTACAGAGATCCCTGGAACGAGGTCCGGATTGGGAAATTGCTTGAAGATCTTGACGCCTTGGCTGGTACTATATCGGTGAAGGTTGCCCCATGCCCAATTCTCCGTTCTTCAGCTTTGCCTTTTTGTGTTTGTAGGTTTGAGCTTTTTAGCTGAATTGACTACATGGCTGGTTTTTCTGATATTATTATCTTAATAGGGGAAGTGGATGACAACTAAAGAAAAGTCTAGTCACCAGTTGAACTTTTGGCTCTTCACCAGTTATTTCAATTTATTTAATCCCCCAATCATTAAAATGCCTATATGGTTGCTCACTCTTCTATAGTAACTTGTTTGCCTTAACATTATTGAATGACAACTTTGATTCTAGTAGTGAGTCACAGTAAACATCCATGTCGAGAAACTGGTATTGACCTAAATTTTAAATGAAAATGGAATTCAAAAGTTTACATTGCAAATGTCTCAATGATGGAGGGAATCGAATTGAAAGAAACAATGTCAGGAGGACCAAGCTGATATTGCACCTATTTCTCGGAGAGTAAATTAAATTAGAGTTTTCATCGAGAGCAACAGACTTTACAGTGAACTGTGTTTAATATCTGGCAATTGTGGGTGAACGTTCATGCTAAGTTTAGGAAACTGTTATTTGATACTTTTATCGTTTTATGTTTGGAACTTTGATAAGAACCATGGTTTTATTTGAATCCTAATCTGGGTGTGTTGCCCAAATGGCTTGTTAGCTTCTGAAGTTTGAAGGAAAATTGCCGTTATTTCAACTTCTCTGTCTTTCGGTACCTGATTTGACTTGGCCAATCTCCATTTGCTTGTGAAACAGCACTGTTCTGATGATGACTGCACAACTAGGCCACTTTTACTGGTGACTGCTTCTGTTGATAAGATTGTGCTGAAGAAGCCAATTAGTGTTGACAAGGATCTCAAAATTGTTGGTTCTGTTATATGGGTTGGGCGATCATCTATTGAGATTCAGTTGGATGTGATCCAATCACCAGAAGGTACATAAATTTAACATATAAATGTCTGAAAATTAAGCATGGTAGGGTCCAAT